TGCATTTGCAACTTTTGGAATGAAAATGTTTATCTTGTGCCACTGAATGTTGGAAGTATTTAGCTTTTCATTTGTATAGGGACTTTCAGCTAAGAGTTTGCCTTATATCTTGGAGACTTGGGACTTGGACTTTTCAGCAATGCTAAAACTGTTAGAACTTTGGCAACTCTGAGATGGGCTAAATGCCTTTTGCATAAAGGGATGTGCATGAGTTTTGGGGGGAACAAGGGAAGAATGCTATGGTTCTAATGTAATATAATACAAGTTGTGAAATGTTAAGAACAAGCATGTGTTAGGACCTGGAAATCAGTTTAAAGAAATGTGTCTGGCTGCCAAGTAGGGGATTGTAATGGTTGATACACTGTGTCAACTTAAGAAGTTTAAAAGTTTAACTAAGAGACTCAGAAGGGAGCCAGGATCCTTACTTTATAAATATCCTGAGTCTGTGCAAGAAGATAGTCTAGATGGTATGAGTGCTACACTCGCCCTAGCGGGTGGTAGCCTGTTTACAATGCAAGGGAAAAAGAGGCTTGCTCTTGGTCTTTTGCTCTTGCTGCTTTTGCTGTCTTCTGCCACCTTGAAGTGTTGCCCCTGTACTGACGCCTGCTTTGGAGTCTGCTGATTATAGATTGAACCTCCACAAACTGTGGGCTAAACAAATCTTTCCTTCCTTGATTTGGGGTTCTGGGTGTTCTGTCTGAGCAACAAGAGAAAACTAACCAACATAGTAGATAAATGCTGTAGTTTGATATGATCACAAAAGTAGACATTTTCATGATAGCTGGGATACAGCAAATCAGAGGCCAGGTACTTAGAAGCACCAACAAGGATGCAGCTCAGTGGTACAGAGCTTGCCTAGCATGCACGAGGCCCTGGGTTCCATCCTCAGCACCAAAGGACAAAACAACAACAACAAAAATTCACACAAAAACCTAAACATAGTTGATAAAGAAACATCTCTGGCCACAAACAGGAATGATAAGGCATATTGCTCTAAGCAATGGCTGAAGTACAATTCAATGGAGTTTTACAATCCATTAATAATATTCCTCATTTTTCAGAAAGGAAAATGATTCCTTTTGTTCTTTTTCAAAGCTGCCTGCTGTTTTTTCCAAAGGCCCTATTTGTTCAGTTTGGTTTCTATTCCTTCTCTTATACTTTTATTAATCAATGAAAAGTTCCTTATCTAAAATCTCTTTCACAATTTTGCCATTATCCCCTATTCCCTGGGCACCAGTTCTTTTAACTGTTTCATATGCCAACTCTCTCTATGGTGATGATTTTTTCATGTGATTGGCAGGTATAGGGGGAAAAGCCACGGAATTTGGAATGGGAAAGATTATGACCAATTGTATTATCAGTCAAGTTTTTTTTTTTTTGTATAGAGATAACAACTATCAGATAGCAAAGAACTCAGAAAACTTCTGATGTGTACTTATTCTTAAAAACTGCATTGAATCATACACCAGTCAATTATGATATAAGCAAAAATAATACTTTAAGATGTATGAGAGGGGGCCAAGGATTTAGCTCAGCGGCATAAGCCCCCTGCCTGGCAAGTGCGAGGTCGTGAGTTCAATCCCCGGTACCAAAAAAGAAAAAAAATATATATATAGTCCAGTGTGGTAGTCCTATAATCTCAGCACTTGGGAGCTGAGGCAGGAGGACTGCCGTGAGTTCAAGACCAGCCTGGGTTACACAGTGAGCCCTATGAGCTGACAGCCATCACGGTCTATGATTTGTGCTCAACATAGAAGTTTCCTTTAAAAGGAAAGAGGTAGATTAACCACTCCTCCCCGAGAACCCTCCAAAGGCTCCTTACTGCACTGGGTGGAAAAGCTGAATCACTCACAATGGTCTGCAGCATGACCACAACCTGATCTCCCCCGCATCTCTGACTTCTCCCCTCTCCCTTGATGCTGCTTGAGTCCTGTTGGTCTTCTTCCGTTCCTCAAATCCACCAAACACACAACTGCCCAAGGCCTTTGCGTTTGCTACGCACCCTGCTTGGAATGCTTCCCCTCCACACAGCTGCACAGAGCGCTTCAGGTCTCTGTTCCCATCATGTTACCGGTGAGCCCCTACTACACCGATCCCACACTCCATCTGCCCTTGGTCCTGGGCACTTTATTATCATCTGCGAGGCTACAGAACTTCTCTTCCTGTCTTTGTGATCTCTCTCCCATCAGAAGAGCTATTTTGCCTGGCATGTAGAAGATGTCTAATAAATATGTGTGGAACATCCGAATGAATAAATGCATTAGATTGTAAATTCTTTAAGAGCTGGGGACTGAGCTCATGATGCCACAACATCGGAGTGCATAAAGCAAGCACCAGTGCCATCCTGACAGCCCGGGAACATTTTCCCCGGCACTCAACTCCCTCCAGAAAGACGACTCCTAATTACAGCCAGAGATGATGGAAGTGAAGCAGTGAAGCTGTGAAAGGAAAGGGGGATAAGAGTGCTTGGGCAGAGTGGAACAAGAGTTTCCAACAGAAAACCCAAGGTCTTCCATTAGGATTCAGCTTTTGCTGCAGGACAGAATTCCACATGCTTATCAGGATCTTTGGTCAGGCTACACGTGATGCTGAAAATTTGACATTTTAAATGCCCTTTCTACTTAGCTATTTCTGGGGTTATGATTAGATATTTTTCTAGGGTGGGAAAAAAAGGCACAGGGAAACCAATCACCCTGTGTCTCCTGTACCCCGCAGGCAGACTGGACACTCCAGCACCTGGATCTGGAAGCACAGACCTCTAACCACGCGTGTGGATGGTTATGGTCCCGTCCACACCTGCTAGACCTCCGTGGTGCGCCTGGGGCTGCAGAGGGGACATTCCTGATCTCAAGTTTCATTAACCTCTAGAAATTCAAGGACAAACTGATAGCATAATGCATAGCTTGATATTCTTTGCCTTAGAAAAGATAAGAAAATTTTTCCTAAGCTATTTTGGACTTTTCTGGGCACCAGAGAACTCTGGCGATTAGGAGGCGGGGGCGGGGGGTGGCCTCCCTGCAGGTGGTAGCTCTGCAGTATTAAAGTGGGCGGCGCGGAGAGAACTCGTGATGAGGCTGGATGGGCCAGCAGCCTCAGCAGCTCTCGCAGGATGATCAAGTTAGTGAAATCTGTCTTTCTTCCATTCGCTTCTTTTCCTTGAGATCTCCTTGGCCTCTGACCTCCTGCAGCTCGTCTGTGAGCATCATTCCATCCTGCTAAGGTGTCTCCCCATGAGATAATGTTTTAAGGTACTGCATTCCATGGGATACCTGCACCTTAAAAACCAACACCAGAAGGACCTCAGCTTCAAAGGAGTCTTCTGCAGGGGTGGGGGAGGGGCACTAATATCTAGTGTGTCAGATATTTTGTACACTTTAATGAGCTCGCTAACTTCTTGTAGCAGCTTTGAAAAGCGGGCATTATCACGGACACTTGGGGATGAGCAATCAGGGACCTCCAGGTAAGTCCAAATGCTAGGTCACCCTTCGAGGCTCTACCTGCTACCTCTTTCTTCCACACACTGGACAGTGACAGATGGAAATAAAAAAAAAGAAAGACAAGAAGTAAACTTATTTGTGTTCAAAATCAAGACATATCTCAGTGGACCTGACACTCAAACTGCTTACTATTTTGAGGGACCAAAGGCTGCTTGCAGAGATCTGGGCCCAGAAGCAGGCAGAGGCAGCTGGGAGATTGATCTTCCAAGGGTACAGGGATTCAAGGCATCCCATAGGAGGCAGGAGACCAGAGTCAAGATGCAAAACGGGGCTGGTAAGGGAGCTTCCCACCTGTGAAAAGAGGCTGGAAACAGCCAGGACCACCGGAGCCGGGAGTGCAGGTGAGAAAGTGGGTGGGCAGCTGCACAGACAGTGGACCTCAGGACTCTGGAATAATCCCATCATCCCTGTGGACACCTGGCTCTGCCCCAGGGGATCCAGGACTCCCCTGGAGGGAGCCATAAGGGAGCAAAATAACACTTAGCAAGGAGAGCAGCTGGGAGCTATACAACATGGATTGAGAAGCTTTAAATGTGTGGATTCTAGAAGAAGAAAGACAGAATGGCAGAAGAATGATATTCGAGGATGTGATAGCAGAAGGTTTTCCAGAACCAAAAATATTTTATGGATCCAGATGAAAAGCACATACCAAGCACCAGGCAAATCAGCGCTGCTCTTCTTGTGCAGCCCCTTCTGTCCCCACCGGCCTCCCTGAAAGCCACAAATCTTTTTTCCTTTTTATCAGTACCGGGGATCGAACTCCTGACTGCCTGCTTTCAAGGCAGGCGCTTATGCCGCTGAGCTAAATTCCCAGCCCCTGAAAGCCACAAATCTTGTCCTCCTGTTCCATTCTGATCTTGGTGCAGTGAGGAAGGCCCTGGCCTTGGGGTAGGGAAAACAGGTCCAGGCTCCCCCCACTTCGTCTGCTACTCCCTAGAGTCCCCATACTGACCCTAACTTCTTCCGGCAGTGGGGTCAGAACTGGAGTTACAGAATCTTGCACCAGGAGTGGGTCTGGGGATGGTGGCATCACGACAGGCCACAGCTGCACCTGGTCTCCAGCCCTACCCCACCAGCTCAGTGTCCCCAGTCACTGAGCCTCCTTGTGTCTCCATTTTCCTGCCAGGAAAAAGTGTATCTACCTATGGGGTTATGACCGGAGGAAAATAATTCATAGATGCAAGGAACAAAGTGCCTAGAGTTCAGTGAACCCTTGACTCAGGCCAAGCTACTGTGGCAGCTCCCACAGATACCACCTGCACATCCAACTCAGTGTTGCCCACCCAAACCACAGGTCTCACGGGCACAGGACCAGGCATGCCACCACCTCTGCATAGTGAAGATAACCAAGCCAGCAGTTGTTCCTCCCTCCCCTTCTCCCTGGGCTCCCCGGGGTGGTTTCTCCTTGACCTCCCAGAGAAGCCCCTACCAAGAACCAAACCCCTCATTTCAACGCTGCCCAGAGGCCGCCCAGCCCACCCTCCCTGCGGCAGGGGCCCCTACCTCTCTTTGCTCACTGCAGATCTTACACAGCCACAGGGGCCTCTTCTGGCCAGGAGAGGCCTCGATCCCACATTTGGTGCAGACTTTCTACAAGAGAGAGGACACGTGCCTGTAAATACTTCCTCCTAGGCCGAGGGGCTGGGAAAACCATAATCAAAGGACAGCTCTGTACCTTCCAAGGAAGGGCTGGGTGGCTTCTGCTACAGGGACAGATCACTCAAAAGGCATAAATCATTCAGCAACCCCTGGTGGGCTTTGGCGCCACAGTGGATGCGCCCCATTCATGGATTTCCATGCCACAGATTCCATCCCAATAATTAAGTTCAGTTAGGATCACATCCAAAAAATAAGCTCACTGACAGTCACAGCTGCGTCATTTTCAGCTGCAAAGAACTGAAAATAACTCAAACACCAATACCCTGGGAAGATTTAGACAAACAGCATGTGATATGGCCTTCATGTGGCGGACTGTGTGGCTACCTAGAAATCGGAGCATGATGTACTGTCCTGCATCTATTTCTACATTAACATGCAAATGACTCACACGTGGGAACTGCAGGTTAGAAGCCGATACAGTGCTAGGAAAACCAGCTTCCCTTAGGGATCCCAGGACCCGAATCCTGTAGCACTGGGCCCATTCCCCAGGTGAAGAATCTGTGGTGTGTAGGAATTTAGGAATTTGAGGATGTTCTCAAGATCATACAGCCAGTAAAGACGGGGTTCGGGATTGGCTTTGGAGCAATTATCTTCTACCTTCTGGATAGGCAGAACCCAGGGTCTCCTGTTTTCCCTCTGCAGAGCTGTTGAAGCAACTAACTTCTATATACATATTTTGCTTCCCCTAAAGGCACAGCAACAAGCCATGACGAGGAAGTACAGGATAAACACTCGGGAGGCAGGGGTGGATTTGTTGGGGCTAAGATTGTTTCGGGCCTGCTGGGGGCCTGCGATTCAGTGATGCATCTCCTCTGAAGAGGGCTCAAATCTTCCAGTCCCCGCAGGGGTGGGGCCCTCTCCAGAGCCCCCACCGAGGGAGGGCTGGATCTGTTGCTTGGCCTTTTGTGCAAGCTGCCAACTGAGCAAGAAGCACACCTCTCCACGGAGAGGAAAATGTCACTAACTTGGCTTCCCAAAGCATGTGTCACCAGCCTGATTGGGTAGTTGAGCCCAGTGCTGCAGGAAGGAGGGAGCCAGAGCTCACAGAAAGGAGGCTGTGACACATTTATAGGGGTACAGACTGGCTGCCACCCAAGGCTCAGGTGTGAGAAATGTCACTTCTCTTTAATTTCTCCAAATAAAATGGACTCTGCCCCAAGCTCTGTTCATCTGCGCTGGCAGGAAAGCCCGTGGGCTGCTCATCAGCTCTCAGGAAGACCCCAGAGTTGGGGTCTTTGGTGGCCCCACTGCTGGGGAGGTCTCTTAGGCACTGCCCATGCTACCCACTGCTATCTGCTTGCCCTCCCAGTTCTCATGGTCCCTCAAAATGGAGGTGGAGAGGGGGGCACCTCTGTGCAAGTCTAAGGTTTGGGATCTCTTGTTTGTTGGAGTTCCGGGTCCAGGATCTTGCATGTTCTAAGAAAGCATTCTACCACTGAGCTACCTTCCAATTCTTTTAAAATTTAATTTTAATTAATTAGTTAATTAGTTTGGTTGGTTGGTGGTTTTGTGAGATGGGGTCTGGTTGTGTATTTCAGGCTGGCTTTGAACCCTCAGTAGTCTTCTTGCCTCGGCTTCATGTTGTGATTACAGGCGTGCACAATCACACTCAGCCCAGCTCTTTTTAAATTACTTTTATTTGACACAGAGTCTCACTAAATTGCCTAGGCAGACCTTCAACTTTTGATCCTCCCTCTGCCTTCCAAATAGCTGGGATTACAAGGCATGAACCACCATACCTGGCTTAAGGGTTTGGGATTTTAGCCAGGCTAGGAGTGAGCCTCTCCAGGGACCAGCAGCCCATTTCCCTGGATCTTAACTCATCATATTTAACGTTGCCCTCAAAGATCCTCCTCCCCATCTCCTCCCTCTTAGAGCAGGATCTCCATCAACCCACAAGAGGAGCTTCAAGAAACATCCCAGGGGCCTCTCTTCCTAGAGTAAAGGGAAGAGGAAGAGGTGCTGACAGGGGCTGACTGTCTTCCTGGCTAGCTGTACTCTCTTCCACACACATTATGAGTGGATAATGTCTCCTCTTCACAGAGGCCAGATTTTCCTGCTGCATTCTTTACACACTTATGGGGGCCACAGCTCGCCCTGAAGCACACAGAACACTCTGCCTCTCCCAACATTGAGGCTGTACTCTTCAAAATCTGGTTGGAATAAAACACCAACCTATCATTTATAAAGTGATTGCATGTACCAGGGACAACACCCTGACCACAGGTATGAAGGAGATGGATGTTACAGAGATAGAGAGGTGCAAAGATGTCACAGCGTCAGGGGCTGGGGGTTTAGCTCAGCGGCATAAGCACCTGCCTTGCAAGCAGGCGGTCGTGAGTTCGATCCCCGGTACCAATAAAAAAGAAAAAGACTAAAAAAAAAAAAAAAAAAAAAAGATGTCACAGCGTCCCCCCAGATCTCAGTTAGTGACAGCAGAATCTTCAGAGCTCAGGAAGGTGATTCCACCCTCTTCTCTTGGCTAGGGGGCCCATAGTCAAGGGAGCTAGCTGGTCCTGCTCAGACAGCTGGTGACTCACAAATGCCTAGGCAAAGATGACGTAGGATGACTCTGGCATGAGGTTTCATAGTGGATGCGGGAGTGGTGGGGACCTGCTTCCTTTTTTTTTTTTTTAATTTTATTTAAGGAGAAAAAAGAAAAAAAAAAACAGAAAAAGGGTACAAGTTATACAGAATTTCAGAAAAAACAAACAGTAGGAAATCACTAGTTAATTACATATTGTCATCTTAGAAATAGTTGTTGAAGGACCTGCTTCCTGATATTCTAGGCCAGAGTCTGGCTCTGCCCTGAGCTGTCTCTCAGGAGGGAAGCAAGAGCTTTCTAGCCAAAGATAGGAAGCCCAGGCCCAGTGGCCTCCCCTGACACTCTGCAGGCTTCCCCACAGCCTGGTGACCACCCTCCTCTATGCACAGAGCCAGGGAGGCTCAGTCTGCTCAGTCCGCTATAACAAGAACCCCTTAGACTGGTTTGCAAACTTCTCTCCTACAGTTCTGGAGGGCCAAAGCTTTAGAGGAGGGTGGCGGCATGGCTGAGCTCTGCGGAGGACTCTTCCTGGTTTCTTCTTTTGTAAAAGCACCAGACCTATCACTGGAGCTCTACTGTGATGACTTCACCTAACCATAATTATGACTTTACCTAATCATAATTACCTCTCAAAAGGTCTCACCTCCAAGTATCACCCCGCTGGGGTGAGGACTTTAACATATGGGCTTCTGGAGGGAAGGGAATACAAACATTTGCTTCCTGGCAGCCCTGCACCAGGCGGCTTTTTGTGTTGAGAGCCCTAAATATGGATGATCATCTCCTTCATCCTGGAGTCACTTGGGGTTCCCAGTCCTCCTGGGTGCTCCAACCCATACTACCTTGCATGGTCACCAACGTCACACTCCTGAAACATTGCTCCCCTCTCATGCTGAGGCAGTGGGAGTGATGCCGAGGCACAGGCTTGGGGGAGGCAGGCCTGAGAGGGCTCCTGGGCAAGCTGCTCAAAGCCTGTTTCTGCAAGATGTTCTCGTCTGTAAAACTGGATAATGTTTATCCTTCAGAGTTGCTGTGCAGATTAACTAAGACACTCATAAAAAGCAATCCGCACACTCAATGAATGCCACTCACTGTTATTAGTGATACCCTCTGCACCCTGACCTAAGGCCTTGCACAGTTCTCTCCTCCATGGATGCAACAACTGGAAGCTGTATTTAAAGTGAAGTTAGGGGCTGGGGATGTAGCTCAGCAGCAGAGCACTGGCCTAGTGTGTTCAAAATCCCAGGTTCAGTCCTCGGGGCCACAAAAAACTAAATGACAATTCAATAAAATGGAACAATTTCTCAGTCACGCTGAGCTTGTATCAGGAACTCAACTGCCACATCTGGTTGGCAGTGATATGTGAGACAACACAGAAAAAGGACATTTTCATCATCACTGGATTCTGCAAGGCAACGCCAGGCTACAAGGGCCACCCTTCAGCCTCAGTGTACAACAGACCTTGACTGGCTGTTCCCAAAGTTCCCCACAGCACCCCACTTCCAATTGGACAAATGTGCTCTTGGGGTTTGCTTGCAGCAGCCCAACAGCCCCCCAGCCCCCACTCTGATTTACTAATCCACCTATCCATCACCCTTCTCTGTGGCAGAAGCAGAGACAAGACCAGAGCCTGAAGGAAGGCCAGCATGGCTGGAGTGCAGAGTGGAGAGAGACAGTGGAGCAGAGGCCTGGGACACCCTGGGAGCACGGCCCTGGGCTGGAAGACCTGAGTGAACAAGGCAGGGCCCAGGTCTCACTGTGCACCCGGCAATGCACCGAGGCTCGCTCAGAGGCTGTCAGGGTAGAGGGGTGCTGGGCTGCTCTGCAGGGGAGACAGGCCGGCAGTTTTGAAGGATGAGTGTGCACATGCCTTTGGTAAATACTGTCTGCTTGATTAAGCATCTGTGCAGTGAGGGGCAGGAAAGGAAACTAGGCAAGCGTGCCGGAATAGCCGCCCGTCCGCCACCACAGAGCCAGCCAGCCTAGGGACAGGGACATGGGTCAGCTGCCCTCCAGAGGTAGAGGTCAAAGGCTGTCAGTGGCTCCACTCTGAGGCAGAGGGTGGGGAGGCAGATGGTGGCCTGGGCCTGCTGGGTTGGGGAAGCTCTACCATCCCTGGTAGAGGGTTCAGTGCTGCCTGCTTCCCCGGAGTACTGAGGGCCATCAGCACTGAGACCTACATTACTTCCTGCCATCTCCTAGGATGCTCCTAAGGGGGTGGAGTAAAAAAAAAAAAGACAGCATGCTCCGGTTCGAATAATACATAATTGCCGCTCTATTAAATCTCAGATCGATAAGAGGATAATTGAACCTTTTCCCCTCATGGGCTTGGTCTTTGTTTCCGGGTTCCAATCCTGAAAATTAAGCAGCTGGTATTTAAAAAAAATGC